CTTCTCCCCTTTTCTGGACCCCCTCTATATGAATATGTCTTTCCCTCTGTGGTTAGCAAGGAGGAGGGCTGGGCTTTCTTTAGAGCATTAAGGACAAAGTTTAAGGGCCCCAGACAGGCGGGGTCAAAGCCACGAGCAGACACTCAGGAGAGCAGACTGTGTAGAACTGGGGACTAGATTTTGGGGGCAGAGTCCCTTCTGGCAGCCCCAGGGGTCCTTTGGGAAAGTCCCTTGGGTTTGCAGGACTATGGAGTGGGGCAGTCTGGCAGTGGGAACCTGGCATGGTGCCCACGGATGCCGCATTGGGCGCTTGTCTCGGTCCCCCCGTTGTAGAAGCTCTTAAGCTTAATGAAATGCTTCCCCCTCCACAGGCACCTTGCCCACACTGCCACCCAGTAGCTCTTATCTGACAAAGAGAGGGTGGGTGGCCAGGCCAGCCGACAGGTGGGTCTTTGAGTCCGGCTGTCCAGGCTAGTCTGAGAACCCCATAGCTCCACCCGCTCTGCTCCCTTGGGACTGAGCCTTGCCTCTGCAGGGGATGTGCCAGGAAGGAGCGGAGGGAATTAAGCTGGACTCCAGGAGGAGGGGAGAGGCTGCCCTTCAGGGTGGGTATCCTTGCCCCAGCCCCCTTTCCTGCTGACCTTTCTCTGCCCACAGCTAACTCAGGCTCACGTGGTATGTGCCTCCCCACATGCTGGGCCCTCTGCTTGCTCTGTGTCATCTCAGAGGCCCAGGTATGTCCCTAGAGAGATGACAAGAAGCCTCTAGGGGTTCCAGCTTCTTGCTAGGTGCCAGGTGAGGGTGCCGTAAGCAGTGAGGGCAGCACCTTGCTTCTCTGCCCACTGCCAGAGGCTCAGTGTAGCCTGGGCTGCACTGACAGGCACCAGGGCACCATTCAGCTCAGCTCGGAGGTGGGGCAGAGAGAGAACCTTCCCCTCCCTGCAGCGGGCACGTGCAAGCCCTTGGCAGTGCCCAGACACATTTGGAGTTAAGGCTGGGCTGGAGAGGGGGAAGGGAAAATAAACATGGTGGCTTAGGTTGGCACTGCCCCAGGTGTGCCCTGTAGCAACTGGCAGTAGCAGGGGTGAGGGAAAAGGGGGCCCTCCAGAGCTATGGCCCGGGGCAGGCGCTGCCCATGGCACGTGGCTGCTGCTGGTGTTCCCTGCCTGGCCTAGCCCACAACTGCTAATACCCATTCGCACATACCCTGGCCCTCTTCGCTTGCCCCCAGGGCCTTCTCCCCAGGGCTGCCCCTCTCTCAGCATGCCCACTCCTGTGCCTGCCTCCTCCCTTCCCCGGGGGCGCTTGGGCCTCCGGCTGGCGAGTGGATTTTTCCAGCCTCTGTAAACAAGTGGTGGCAGCTTGCCAGGTGGGTAGGAGACAGGCAGGGGCAGCACCGCAGCCAGGGTGTGCCAAGCACCGAGGCACAGCCTGGGGGTGGGGGGGCAGACGGGGAGACACCCAGAGAGAGAGAGAGAGAGAGACATTCAGATGCCTACAGACAGACCCAAGGAAGCCTCATTGGGCACAGATAGAAGTGGAAACGGGCAACAGAAAATAGCCCTCTATTGTCCAGCCCAACACCCAAGACTGCCCTGGCCCCCGACCCCTCACTGCTCTGGCTGAGGGCAGCAGGCCCCGGTGCCCAATCCCTGGGCATCCCCACCCACTCCTCCTCCTCCCCCCACCTCCACCCCTTAGGGCTGGCTACGCCATTATAAATTTATAACAGGAATTTCTCCACAAGCCAAGAAAAACTTGACCTACTTTCTTGACGGCTCTCTGGGCTAAGGCTCCCCGCTCGCACCCCCGCCCCCCGGTCTCCTGTCCAGCCCCCAGTGCCCAGTCCTGGTCTATGGGGGTACCAGAAACAGAATGGGCCACCCTTCTGTCCTCCTGCCACGTTCCCCACGCTGGGGGCTTGCCTGAGTACAGAGGCCCTGTCCCACTGCCCTGCCCTGCCCTGCCCATGGCCTGACTTATCTCACCGCTCCCCTCCTACCCTGGCTCCTTATCAGTTCCTGGGGGTGGGGTGGGGGGCCCAGGGGCGAGGTCTCTGGTGCAGCAGCCACGTGATGAAGGTTGTGTGTAGGGAGCTGCACCCTTTGTCCCCCTCGCACGTGCCCACACCTGCTTGTGTGTGCAGACAGTAAGCCTCAGGTCTGGAGCCTGTGGTCAGAGGTACAGTGTGGAGGAAAAGGGGGGCCCAGATTGGCACTGCCTCGAACCCCAGGTAGCAGAACAAGGCTAGCAGTCAAGCCAAGCTTCAAGCTTTTGCTCCCTGAGCCACCTGCTTGCTAGCTGTTGTGAACTTGAGTCACCGACCAAGCTTTCTGAGACTCAGTTTGCTCATCTGTCAAGTTCTGCTGCCCACTGCAAAGGGCACATATCTAGTTAGTTAGCGTGTGTTCCTTTCCCCTTCCCCTTGCCATCCTGGTGGGTGGTAGCTCAGCTAAACCAACTGGGATATCGGTCCTCAGACTGGGAAGTGTGATTTGGGGCCTTCTGTGGACAGCTCTGGAGTCCTTAGGAGGCCAGGGTTGAAGAGTTATAGCTTGGCCAGCAGCCGGGGAGGTCGGCTCTCCACCATGGTTTTCAGTGTCTCTCTCTATTAAGGTACTCAGATGGGTATTCATGATCCCAGCCCCTTATGCCCACACCCCACCCTTCCTTCACGAGTACCCCGCCCCGCATGCCTGAGCTGAAAACTGCTTGTCTCTGGTCCCCTCTTGCCCTTTATTATGATGAGTTTTATCAAAACTTGGCTAGATTAGTGGTAACAATAGCTCACGTTTAATAGACACTTGTTAAGGGCCAGGCACTACTGAATGTGAGGATTGAGACATGGTACATGGATGATCTCATTCTTTCCCTCCATCCCTTTCCATGTCTGGGGCTTTAGGACATGGACCTCCAGTCTTGCCTGCTATACCTGTTGATCTGAGGGCTTATCCTGGTCCTCTCCCTCTGCCTGCCCTCCATGCACACTACCATCATATGAACCCCAGGAGCCCAAAATGTTGCCACCGAAGGACTCGTATCTGTTCACCCCCACCATGGCGCCGCCTTATCCCTGCCTTTCTCCTCTCTCTACAGGGACTTCTGGACAGGACAAGACTCTGAAGCTACTCCCCGAGCCCAGGACCCCTCCCCTCACAGACCCAGCTTTCCCCCCAGTGCCACCATCTGCCACTCCCTGGCCCCTCTCACCGCCTGTCCCCCTTGGGGCACAGGGCATGGTGTGAAAGGCCAAGTGCTGAGGCGGGCACCATGGGTGCTGTGCCCTAGGCCTGGGTGGCGGGGGGTGGGTGGCCTGTGGGTGTGCCGGGGGGGCCACTGTGCCCACCCCAGTCTCTTGGCGTGCTGGAGGGCATCCTGGATGGAATTGAAGTGAATGGAACAGAAGCCAAGCAAGGTGGAGTGTGGGTCAGACCCAGAGGAGAACAGGTAATAGATCTAGCAACTAGGTCGTGCCAACTCCTAGGCAGCAGGCATGGTCACCTGGCTGGGCAAAAGAGAGCTGAGCTTGGGCCTTTAGGGGAATGGGCGCAAGGCCAGCAAGGCTACTGCGTACCTTTGCCCAGGAGATGAGGTCATATTCACATGTGGCCGGGAATTAGGCTCCTGGACTGAGAGATGCCCGTTTTGGAGTGGGGCGGTGATACAGAGCAGAGAAATTACATGCAGCAGGCACGTGGCCCCTCCCTAGACAGTACTGGGGAGTCTCAAATGCCCTCAGTGTCCCCTCAGCCACCCTTACCTGAGCATGTGGAATCCAACAGCCTTGCCATTTGCTTCCTTTCCTTGCCAGCCTGTTCACATCTGACCACCAGTGTGAGGTCCACATGCCATGGTGCATGTGACATGACAGTTAATGGCACATGCACCAGTAACTGTTGGTCACAGCCCACGCTTATATTTGGAAACTTTTGGGAGCCCCACAAGCTCTTCCTTGTTCATGAGCAAGGGCATGCATTGCCATGGGGCTCCTCCCAGGAAGTGGAAGTGAATGCCAACTGTGAAGGTTTTGCTCACACGTGGAGGAGGCATCAATCCTGCACACCTTGCTAGGGATGGGCTACCTCTGATCTGCATGGCCCTTGAGGAGCCCAGAGGGTCTCGACCTCTCCGGTCAACTCCAAGTGGCTCAGAGCTCTGGTGTGGTGCCCCTGGAGCTGGGCACAGCCTGTGCCTATGGCCAGGGATAGGGTGGAGGAGGGGGTGCTCTGGGGAGCAGAGTGGCTGTTGCCTAGGAGACCAGATCTTGAGCCAGGAGGCCAGAGGCCTGGCCAGGCAAAGCCCTGGGGCCCAAGACTGGGTCCCTGTAGGGGTGGTGGAAGTGGATGGGGCTGGAAGTTGGGTAGGGCACTAGGGGTTTCTCCCTCCAAGCCTCACCCCAGGGGGAGCTCTGAAAAAGAATATCTGACGTGTCACTGTGTCGCCCTTACTGGTAGCCTCTGTAGTCCCTGCCCAGACTTCTGTGGGTCTGGGATAGTCTGCTCCTAACCGGAGAAAGGCGGGAATCCTGGTTCCTGGTCCCCCAGAGCTGCAGCCCCTCCCCTCCCCCATGTCCCTGCGCCTCCTTGTGGCTGTCCCTGGGATTGCACCTAGAAGGTGTAAATCTTGTAATTGGTGAGGACCGCCAGCTCAACTGGGGCTAAGGTGGCCCGGGAGTTTGCCCACACCCTCCCCTCTTGGAGGTGGGCGGGAGATCTGACCTCCCAACGGTTGTAGAAATCAGACAGGGGTAGTCCCCAGGGAGCGTGGAACACAGAGCTGTCTTTGACTGTGACCCTGGCCAAGGTCACTGTGTCAGTGTGTTGGGAGCTGCATCAGGCTCCAGGGGGAGGGGCCATGCAACATGCAGGGTGTGGGGAGTTATACAATCCGTGCATGCATGTAGAAAGCTTATGTAACCTGTGTGTGCTGAGGTTATGTAACACGTATGTGGAGAGTCTGGCAACATATATGTACAGTGGCTGCGGTCGCCAACACTGTGCATGGAGAGACTTAGGGTCCTTGTCCTGGCTCTGATTCCAGTGCAGAGTGTCACCAGGCACAAGTGGGGCCTCGGTTTGCTGCTCTGTTAAATGGATGCCGTGGACAGGGTGACTCTGGAAGTTATTGTCATATTCTTGGTTCTAGGTTCTAGCTACTAGGCACTGTATAAGGTCATGTTCACATGATTGCAGTCACTGTGGTTATTGAGCATGTGTGTATGACCTGGAAATCAAGGAACATGTTTACTGAGGGGAGGAGGGTGGTATTATTAGGTGCCTGTCCAGAGGGTTGTATAACACATAGGTATATCCTAGAGGTCATATAACACATTTGAGAATAGCCTGAAAGTTATACAGATATGTAGATCCTGGTGCTTATTTACCATGCTCGGGTTTATACGGAAGACTGCATAGTTATTTATATGCAGTGGCCTTGTGTTGCATATATATGTGTGTGTTTTAAAGGTTATATAGCTTTAAGCATGTCCTGAAGATTTTTTCTGCGTGAGTCATGAACTGAAGGCTTAAACATGTAGATATCTTGTGGATTATGGGTATTTAAGGTTCTATGATTTGTGTGTGTGTGTGTGTGTGTGTGTGTGTGTGTGTGGTGGTGTATGTTAGGGCCCTAGAACATGCTTGTGCTTCAGCCAAGCCCCTTCTCTGTCTCCCTGAAGCTTCTAGATAGCTGGACCCTGCTTTTGTCAGCTGACCTGGGGGTGGGAGTTAGAATGAGGACACAAGATGCAGGGAGTTGGTCCTGGGGGCTTATATAAACCTATTGGATGAGAAGGGGGCTGCCCAAAGACAGCTCTGTGATTCTGCCCACTTTGCCCCCATCCAGTGCCAGGTCACCAGATGGAAAGCGAAAAAGAAAGAACGGCCAATGTTCCCTGAAAACCAGCATGTCAGGTGAGCCTGGCTGCATGTGCCCTTCCTCTCTGCCCTCAACCCCACGAAGCCAGGCCAGGGCTCTTCTGGAGGCTGGGCATGCACCAGCAGCTCCCGTGTCCTGTGGGGAGAGCCTCCTAGAGGGCTGAGGATGGGCTTGTCTGGAGGTGAGATGATGGGTGATGTGGGCTTGCCTCAGCCTTGAAGATGGATTAGGTCAGGAAGGCCCTCTTCCCTTCTCCAGGGGGCCCTTGGCTGAGACGCCCACCCTCACCCTGGAATCAGGGCCTTGGCTGAGGGGCTGAGAGGCTGTATTCCTCTGAGATGAGCTGCTGACCTTTGCTTCTCCTCCTGCATCCCTTGCTCCTTAGATGCAGCAAGAGGAAAGCCTGAATGGGCAGGCAGAACTCTGGGATTCTCCACATTCTTAGGGAAGGGGATGGACAAGATAACCCCTGATGGGTCTCTAGGATTCTACCCTTCAGGGAGGCTGGGCTAGGGCATGGGTCAGGAAGGAAAAGTCGGGGGGGATGGAGAAAGTGTAGGAGCCTCTCTGCTGGGGTCCAAGCCATGCCTGCCTCCCTTCTTCCCGCCCAGGGTATATCCCTAGTTACCTGGACAAAGACGAGCAGTGTGTCGTGTGTGGGGACAAGGCAACCGGTTATCACTACCGCTGCATCACTTGTGAGGGCTGCAAGGTATGAACCAGCCAGCTCCTGCCCCTCCCCCACCACCTGAACCCCCATCTCACTCCCTGTAGGCCCTCAATACTTGGTACAACAGATGGCTCTATAAACATGTAACCTAAAGCCCACCTTTCACATCATTATCATGTCTCTTATTCATTAATCCATCTGTTCGTTCATAATCCCTACCCTGCTCCTGATAGGTAAAAAAAAACCTAATCTCTCTGAGCCTGAGTTTCTTCATCTATAAAATGGGGATAATCATGCTACATAGTGTTGTGGGGAAAATTAAAGGAGATCATTCACACAGAGCATTTAAAACAGTGATAGGCACATAAGAAGCACTCAGTAAATGCCAGCTATCATCCATCCATTCAGCATGTAAGGGGTGTTGTATGTACCCTGCCCACAAGCTGGCCACAGCCTACCAGAGAGAGACAGACATCGGTGGAAACCAACATCAGTGTTTTTCAAAATGTGATTCACGGGCCACCTGCAGTACTAGTTAAATGCAGATCCCCAGGCCTCAAGCAGAACCTTTGTGGTGGAGCCCAGGAATCTGCCTTGGAGCAAGCCCCCCAGTTTCTTCTCCTGAACCCAAAAGGGTAAGAACCCTTTGCTGGTGGGGCATGGTGGAGCCCAGAGGAGAAGAGGATGGCAGCGTCTCCCTGGGCAGAGGGGACAAGGTCATAAACTTGGGGAGGCCATTAGACTTCACTTTGGACATATCAACCTGCATGATTTTTTTCTGGGATCATTACCTCCCAAAAATGTAAAACCTTCCAGGAAACAGAAATATTTAAAGATATGTTAAGGCTTCAAGTTCCTGCCTTTCTGGGTGTCAACCAAACCAAGACCACCAGGGACTTAGCGTCCCATAGCAGTGTCCCTGGATATAAAACAAGCAATGTAACATAGACCAAAGAGACTCACCCTCAAGGACGTCTGAGTCCCAGAGGAGCATCTCAAAAGGACAGAGATGCCTGACCCTACCCCTAAAGAGTTTGGTTTTATAGGTCTAGAGTGAGGCCCAGGAATCTGTATTTTTGGTAAGCGCTTCAGTGATTTTAATGCATCCCAGAGTCTGAGAGCTCAGACCTTGGCGTCCCATACCTCAGTACCAGTTCCGACTCTGCCGCCCATTTAGCCATTTGGGCAATTTAAGCAACTTAAGTGACTTTGGGCAAATCGCATCTCTCCAAGCTTCAGTTTTCTAGTCAGCAGAATGGAGACAGTGGTAGCTCCTACCTCATGGGGTTGACATGAGTGTGAAATGGAATGATGCATCAAAGAAAAGGTTTACATGTGTCTGGCACATAGTGTGTGTTCAACATGATATATAGAATTGAAAATTTTCTTTTAAAGCTACTAGAATTCATACCCACTGCCATATTTAGACTTTTTGACACCCCCCCTCTCCCAATTTCATGAACTCCACGAGCATGGGCAACAGGCAGCATGGATGAGAATGGTTTGGGGGTCAGTGTTGTTTTTAGAGTCATTTCGCAAGATGGAAAATTCAGGGATTAATTGGACTTCCAACGTTGCTATCCCTTCAGGCCTCGCAGAACCTCACACCATCCATCCCAGGCCCGGATGTCCCCACTGCAGTCATCCTCACCTCCAACACCATCCCTACCCTAGTAGCCCCACCCCTTAGCAGCCTGGGGAGCTGAGGACGTGTGTTTCTAAGGTCCTAAGTCCTGGCAGAGTCCAGTGATCCTGGGCTTGCTGTGTCAGGAGTATGCCAGGTTCCCTCACTAATCCCCCACCCCCTCAGTGAACTGCATGGTTGGTTCAGGAGGGGGGAGATCATGACCAGAGGCTTCGTCTCCCCCCAACCCCAGGGCTTTTTTCGCCGCACAATCCAGAAGAACCTCCATCCCACCTACTCCTGCAAATATGACAGCTGCTGTGTCATCGACAAGATTACCCGCAACCAGTGCCAGCTGTGCCGCTTTAAGAAGTGCATTGCCGTGGGCATGGCCATGGACTGTAAGGGGACTGGTGGGGGGAGTCGGGCCAGGTGACTGTGGGTGGGGGTAAGTTCAGGTATGGCAGCTCCCTTCTGGGGTACCCTCAGGGCCCACAGGGCAGAGTGACAATCCAGGTCAGGCCGATGGAAGGAATGTTCAGAATCTTGGCCTCTGCCACCCTCATCCCTGGGGAAAGGGAAACAGAGAGAGGATTCCTCTCTGGGCGCTGCGCATGAGCCCCAGTGCTTACTGCCTTTCACCACTCCAAGCCTCACAGGGACTTGTTGGGTGGAAGGAAGTCCTGAGCACCCCACCGTAGCACAGTGTTCCCGACTATCAGAGAAGACACCCCACTTCTGGGTGAGAGAGGGCATCTTTCACTGGCTAGGGATTGGGGGTCAGGGTCTTCTAATAATTACTATCACCATAACCCTTTAGACCAGAATCTGCTATGCCTCTGAACCAGCCCAAAGTAGAGTTGATGTCCCAGGGATTATCATGATTCAGGTTGTGCCACCCAACTGCTAAGTGACTTGGACGTCGCTTAACCTCTCTGGCCCTCAGTCTCCCCAACCTGTACACTGGGAAGAGTAGTTTCTGAGAGGGTTGTGCAGAATGTCATGCAAAGGGTGTGTGTCTCCCTGTTGTTGACAGTGGTTCTAGATGACTCAAAGCGGGTGGCCAAGCGCAAGCTGATTGAGCAGAACCGGGAGCGGCGACGGAAGGAAGAGATGATCCGATCACTGCAGCAGCGACCAGAGCCCACTCCTGAAGAGTGGGATCTGATCCATGTTGCCACGGAGGCCCATCGCAGCACAAATGCCCAGGGCAGCCACTGGAAGCAGAGGCGGAAATTCCTGGTAAGGAGAGACGGGGGTGGGGGCGAGCGGCAGCCAGGTACCTGGGCGAGGAGAGCAAGCTCAGGGTCTTGCCTCCACCGGGAAGCCGTCTTAATTTAATCCGACCCAAAGCTGATACTCTCCACACCTTTGTGGCACACCTGTATATGTGTCACCGCTGTCTGGGCCCTGCCTATTCCATCCGATTGGGAGCTCCGTGAGGACAGGGCCTTGCCTTCCTCACTGAACCTCTAGTGAACAGCAGCGAACTCTCCTCTTTTTTCCTGTCCACAGCGACTGGGAGGAGAGGGTGAGGACACAGTCATGTAACAGTATTTTGGGGCACCTGCTGGGTGCCAGGCATTGTATTAGGCCCTGGCAAAACTGAGTGCCAAGTGAACAGTCAGCTCGAGTGTAGATGGTTGGTTGTATTTGGTAGGGGAAGGCAGAAAACATGTCTGGTTCCTGGGGGTGGAACAGTGCGCTGTCTGTTGTAATAAGAACACAGGCTCCAATACCAAGCAGATGTACGTGTAACGGTCAGGAATCAAACTACCTGGGTTTATATCCTGGTTCTACAACTTACTAGTCATGTAACCTTGGGCTTATTAGTTAGCTGCACTATGCCTCAGTTTCCTCATCTGTGAAATGGAGCGCATTATAATATCTTACTTACAGGGTTATGGGAAGGATTACATGAGATAATATATGTAAAACATGTAGCCTTAACGCCTGGCCACATATTAAATACTCAATAAATATAGCTTCTATTATTATGACATTACTTCTACTACCGTTATGATCATTTGTTATTATTAGCAGACTTGGAGCTCTGGCTCTGATCTATTCACTGCCCCAAGGTGAAAGAGATGCCTTAGGCCTGGGACATAGCACTCCCAGATACTGGTGGCCCATCTTCCCCAAGCTGCCTTGGAGCTCCCCCTGGTGGGCAGGGAGCCTCAGTGAGAGGTTAAAAGGGGTCTGCAGCCCCTGCTGACCCCCATCTTTCCCTCTAGCCTGATGACATTGGCCAGTCACCCATTGTCTCCATGCCGGACGGAGACAAGGTGGACCTAGAGGCCTTCAGTGAGTTTACCAAGATCATCACCCCGGCCATCACCCGTGTGGTGGACTTTGCCAAAAAACTGCCCATGTTCTCCGAGGTGAGTGGCAGATGGGAGGAGAGACACTGGAGGGAAGCCTGGGGCTGCTTCCCAGGCTACCCAGTCTCAGCACGTGCTCATCTGAGTTTCTCTGGGCAGGGAGCAATTCCTTTAGGTTAACACACACCCAGAGTACAGCGTGTACCATCTCTCTCTTCTCTGTCTCTCTCTTCTCTGTCTCCCTCTGTCTCTCAGCATATCTCTCTCTCTCTCTCTCTCTCTCTCTCTCTCTCTCTCTCTCTCTCTCTCCTACCTTATCCCTAAGGAACCAGCAGGTGCCCAGTCCCCTGAAGTCTATGTGGCCATCGCAACTCTTAAGAGAGCCTGGAAGTTCTTATCTTAAAGAGCACTAACTGGGGACAGGCTGCCATACTAGCTGTGTGACCTTGGCCATGTTGCCTAACTCTCCTGTATCTAGGTTTCCTCATTTGCAGTGGAGATGGAGATAATGATGGGATAATTGTGAGGTTTAATGAAATAGGGCATGTCTGTGGCCCAGTGCAAGTTTAGTTGTTCAGAGTACATGTTACTGGCTAAGGCCAATGGTGGCCTCGTAGCTCCCAGGGGGCACCCACAGGGGACACTTTTGGAGCGGGGCGTGCTGAGTGTTCCTGTGGCCCTGCCGCTCTGCAGCTGCCTTGTGAAGACCAGATCATCCTCCTGAAGGGGTGCTGCATGGAGATCATGTCCCTAAGAGCGGCTGTGCGCTATGACCCCGAGAGCGACACCCTGACGCTGAGTGGAGAGATGGCTGTCAAGCGGGAGCAGCTCAAGAATGGTGGCCTGGGTGTAGTCTCTGACGCCATCTTTGAATTGGGCAAGTCACTCTCTGCCTTTAACCTGGATGACACAGAAGTGGCTCTACTGCAGGCTGTGCTGCTAATGTCAACAGGTACCTGCTGGTTGACTGGGAGGGCTAACGTTATCCTCCATCCTAGTCCCTCTGCTCGTCAGCTTCTCTGCCCCTCCAAACCCACCCACAAACTGTGTCCCACAAGTTTACCTCTGTCATCCAAGACATCTTCGTCACCCAGGCCCACCCTCTGTCCCCTGTCCCCTGCTGTGTCACCTATCCCCCCTCCGTTCTGTTCCCCAGGCCCATCTCTTGCTTCCCAATCCCTCCTCTGCTCTTTATCCCATCTTTACGCCATTCTTTATCTCTGCCCCCATCCCCTCACGACCCCTATTACCACCCCACCTCTCTGACCACCAACCCTCCTCTCCACCCACAGTGCTGACCTATCTCCAAGTTTCCTGTCTTTTCCGAGGCCCGCCTCTCGTCCCTCTGTCCTCTTGGCTGATCCCTCCATATCCCCGTCCCCTTAGCCCCCCTCCCTCTGCCCTGCGGTTGCTCCTACACATCCCCCCACCCCCACAGTGTTGTTTTCTCTCCTCACTGCCCCTACTCTCTCCCCTCTGTCTCCCTTCACCCACTCACCCCCATGCCTCTTGTTTTCCTGCAGACCGCTCAGGCCTGCTGTGTGTGGACAAGATTGAGAAGAGTCAGGAGGCGTACCTGCTGGCGTTCGAGCACTACGTCAACCACCGCAAACACAACATTCCGCACTTCTGGCCCAAGCTGCTGATGAAGGTGACTGACCTCCGCATGATCGGGGCCTGCCACGCCAGCCGCTTCCTCCACATGAAAGTCGAGTGCCCCACCGAACTCTTCCCCCCACTCTTCCTCGAGGTCTTTGAGGATCAGGAAGTCTAAAGCCTCAGACGGCCAGAGGGTGTGCGGAGCTGGTGGGGAGGAGCCTGGAGAGAAGGGGCAGAGCTGGGGGCTGAGGGAGACCCCCACACCTCTTCTCTCCTTCCTCTCATCCTCGGATAGATTCAGCTCCCACACACACCCCCGCACTACCCCGTCCCTCCTCAGAACCTCCAGCCCTGGGACAGGGCAAACACATGAACTGGCTATGAAAAGGACAGTGGGAGGCTGGGGGACCTTGTCCTGCAGTTCCCAGGACCCCGTCCTCTAAGAAGATAGGGGAAGGGAGGGAGAACTAAGAGGGGACAAGCCATCTTGACTGTAGGGGACAGGAATGTGGGGTGGGGGAAGATGCCCTCAACTCACCCCCTACACACACACATGAGAGAGAGCCCCCCACCCCCAGTTCCTTGGCCTAGGTTCCCCCTCCAGGCTAAGGGCCTCTCTGCCTCCCCAGATGCCTGGGTGCAAAGAAGGGCTTGGCTTGGCTCCTCCCTGGAGGTTAAAAATTATAGTCATTCTAACTGCACTTTGGAAACCAGGCAAGGGGAGAAGATAAATGAAGAAAACCTAGATAGAAAAAGAAAAAAGAGAGAGAGCGCGAGCGATTGATAGAGATGATATTAAATTATTAACTGAAGCTGGCCAGAGGGGAGGATCCCCCCCTACCACCCCCATGCACTTTGAGAGCTGTCCCTCCTCCCCCCAAATCAGAAAGAACTGCCCCCCACACCAGGTCCCCAACGTAGGGCTGCCGATCAGAGCTGTGAGTTAACACAACAGGGTCCTGGCCACCCCCCTTGCCCTGCCCCTCCCTCTGTGCCCCTTTGGCACCCCCACCCCAGTACTCCCTCTGCTCTCTGCCACTCGTGCCCGCTGAGTTCCATCTACCTCTCACGCTGGATGCCAGCTGGCCCCTCACCAGCCTGCCCTGCTGCCTGCACAGCTCCCCTTTCAAGTGCCCAGCCCCAGGGGCCTCTCCCTGTCCACCGCCCCCCCCCACTCCTTCTGCACCTTGGCACCCACACAGGAAAAACTGTGGCTCAAACTCCCGCCCTCCTCACATCCTGCAGTATTAGCCACAATCCAGATGCTGCTGCACTCGGGGCGAGGGGGCTGTGCGTTAGCTTCTCCCAGAGCCTCCACCCCCTTAGGACTCCGTTTCCCATATGTCTTCTGGGCTCTCTCTGACCTCTGCCCTCCTCCTTCCCCACTCCCACTCAATTTACCAACCCAGACTCTGGGTGGGCAGGCCCCAGGAATGGGGTGCTTTGATCAATGGCACTTAGTTGAGGCCCCAGGGGAAGGGGCGGTTGGTGCTCCTCCTTTCTCTTTGAAGCTCTTTAGGCCAGCCGCCCCTCGGCCCCTGGGACCCCTTTCCCCTCTTCTTTTCTCTAATTCAGGGACTTTGGCTTGAGCCGCCTCCCACCCTCCTGGTGTGGAGTGCTCTGTTGGTCTGCACTTGGGTGAGCTGCCTTCCTCCCTCCTCCCTTTGGCTAGCATCCACTCTGCAGGGGAGAGGGTCTGAGTAGGTAGCTCTCCCATAGGTGCGGCAAGGGGAGGGTGGGGAGGGACAGAGCAGACCAGAGGGCCCTGGGCTCAGGGCTGCATGTCGGCAGGGATGAATGGGTGGACACAGATGCCCCCCGGAAGCCATGGGGAACGGGGCAGGGGCAGGGGAGGGGTGCCAGGGCTTCCTGCGCTTTGCACTATTGGGGCAAAAATGTCTTAAGCAGTGGGGAACCTGCCACCCCACCCTAACCCTCAGCCTGCCACAGCCCCCTACACACACACACACACACACACACACACACATCCACACACCCACACACGAAGGCAATGCTATGCTGCCCATCAGGGCACGTCTTTCCCCCACTGTTCAGGTGTCCTGAAAGGGGGGGGGGCCTGGAAGAGCATCCACTGTCACCTGTGCGTGTGCCTGACCTGTCCCTGCTTGGGCTGGTGGGCTGCGCCTGCTGTCTTTGTCTCTCCCTCCTTCTCTCCTGGGGCACTGATTCCTCCTGTCCTATGGGAAAGCCCTCTTGTACCCTCCTCCTACCCCTGGGGGCCCAGTGGAATTCCTGACCTGTCTGCTGTTTCCCCCATTCCTCCAGCCCCAACTCGACCCCTCCATCCCCATTCTCAGCCATGGACATGGTGGAGAAAAGGCCTTGAAGAGGCTTAGCCTCTTACAGGCGCTTGGGAATCCCCCCACCCCTCCCCAATCATATGAGCTGTGACCGCCCCCCCCCAACTCTTCCCGACCCCTCCCCCTCACTCTCAGTGATGTGGGGTGTGTGTGTGCATTTCTCTGCGTGAATGTGTGAGCGAGTACATGTGGTGGGGAGGAGCTGGGGGGACTCAGGAGTGCCACGAACCTGCTCTAGAGAGGCAGCTGTCCCAGTCCCTGCTTTGGAAGTGGGCGACAGGGCCCTCTCCTGGGGGCCATTGGTGCTAATGAGGGGGATGGCCTTGACGTGGGTGCTTAGCGTGCCTCCCCCAGTATTGGCCCGGGGCACTAGGGCAGGCAGGGTGGGGCAGCAGGTGCAGTATTGGTGGGAAGAGTGGCTACTGAGAATAGGATGAGGGGGCCAGGCCAGGACAAGGGGGTGCCAGAGCCATGACCACTACCCCGCCCCCACCACCTGCCTCTCCATCTCAGTATTCCCCGTCCCATCACTCATAACACACATACCTCATCCAGCCTCCTCTCTGCTCAGACTTGGGGAGGGTGGGGGTGGAGGAGCCCCTACCCCTTCCCCTGGTGGCGGGTCTACAGGGCTGGGAGAGGGCAGGGCGTGTGACATAGACACAGTCCATAAGGGGGACAGTAATTCCTGCCCTGGGAACTCCTGGGTTGGGGGAGGGGGACACTTCCCTGGAGGCGCTACTGAATGTATGAGAAGCTGGTGCTGGGGTGGGGGGAGGGGGGTTGTGGCCAGAAACAGGGAAGGAGGTAGGTCCCTTTCCCAGGGAGGGGTGGGGCCAGTAGGGGTGACTTGGGGGGGCTCCTACTCCTGCCCCACGTTGACAATCAGTATGTCTGTTATGTGCGATTTTTCACCCCGTTGTGTTTTGGGTCAGGATTTTAAAGAAAGATATTTTTATGGTAATTGTTGCTCGTCTATTTTACTATATATTTATGTAATAAATATATGATGAAAATAACCCCCTTGGGCGCCCCCCCCCTTAGACTTGCGTGCTGTTTCCCTGTATCCTCCCATCTGCTGGCAGAGTCCCGCCCCACAAACTGACCAGATGGAGAGGTGTGCCCCCAGACTTGGCAATATTTCCACCCCACCCCCACAACGAGCACACACCACAGAAGCCAGCTCAGCTGTGAACTATTGGATTTGAGACAGGAATAGAACAAATTGGGGGGCTAGAGAATAAAGGGGGGGAGTGGTTTAAATAGGGGAGGACGGGAGGTTCAGTAATGGGGGAGGGAGGCAGGTATTTACAAGAAGGCTCGGGGGGCCAGAGGCTCATCTTGGAATATTTTATAACAATATAAATAAGATTCTGGTTTGCTTTTCCTTTTCGTCTCGTAAAGGAGAGAGAAGTGCAGAGTTCGATTCTGTACAAGGGGGCAGCGGCAGAAGGCCGGCCGGGCGGGTCACTGGGCGTCCACCCGGAAGGACAGCAGCTTCTCGGAATGCATGTTGTTCAGGGTCCGCAGGTCCGGCAGCTTGAGCAGCAGCTTGGTGAAGCGGGAAGTCTCCAAGGGCCGGTTCTTCAGCACCAGAGCCCGAAGAGCCCGCAGCAGCGTCTCCTGGAGCTGCTCCACCGAAGCGGAATTCTCCATGCCCGAGCGGTCTGTGGGGAAGACGACAGCAGTGAGGCAGGCTCCCTGAGCTCCTCTGACGAGGAACCGGAGGTCTGCAAGGAGGAGGAGGACGTGGTGGGCAATGCAGCCTCTCCCTGAAACCCCTCAGAGGGCTGAGGGGGAAGGAGGAGGAGGGGAGCACAGACTCCTCCTCCCAGACCTCTGCCGCAGAGCAGGAGGTGCCTGAGAGCTGGGAGCATGGGCTCAGCAGGGCTGGTCACCTCCCATCCCACAAGGCCACTCTCCTTCCCTGAACAGGCCAAACATATCCAGGCTCCCTTGCTTTGTGCTCTGTAGTTCCCTCTGCCTGGCTGCCCTTTCCCCGCTATCCCTAACCACCCCACCCCCCACCCCCGCCTGGCAATATCTTAATTGTCCTTTGAGGCCCCACTTAAATGTCACCTCCTTGCCCAGCTCCCCAGGCAGAAATAGTTGTGTTTCCAAAGCCCTTGGTTCATGCTTCTACTGTGACACTTATCTCACTGTTTTATAATTAGTCGGGCATGAGTCTGTCTCCCAAGCTAGACTGTGTCTGAATCATGTCTGTATCCCCAGTGCCCAGCGCAGGGCCTGGCATAGAGTAGGTACTCCATAAAAGGTGTGTTGAATTTGAACTGCGTCCGCCTCCTCCCCGGGGTCAGACTCGGGCAAGAGCTTGACCTACCTGCAGAGACAAGCACCACCGCGGTGAAGAGACCCAGCTCCTCCTCGGTAAGCGCCAGGGAGTTGAGCTTCTCGCTGAAGTCGAACATGGCATTAAGAAGGTCTCCCATGCCCATGGCGCCGAGCTCCTGCAGGCTGTAGGTGGTGCGGCTCAGGAACATCACCGTCTGGTCCTTCACGTTGAACAGCGATGCGAAGCGCACCATCAGCACCTAAAGGGACAGTCATCCTGAGTGGGGTGGCAGGAGCACTTGCCAATCACCCCTAAAGTTTTCTGAAGGGTTTACTGGTGCTGCCTTAGATTTTTCAGTAAAGAGCGGGGATAGTTTCTGAATGGGTAACGGTGGTGCTGGAGGTGGGGGAGGGGGGAACCAGGTGGGAAGATGGGGACCATCCCACTGGTTTTGGAATCCCAACAGGCCTGAATGAGTCTCAACTTTGTCACTACCTGTGACCTTGGGCAAAGCACTTAACCAAAATTAATTTGCTCAGGCCTGAAAGGTGGGTAGCAGTGTGCCCTAAGGTGTTATTTTAAGGCAATGGAAAGTGATTAGACCCCAGCTGAGAAGACAAGTCCCAGCCATCCTGAGGCATTCTGTCCCCTCCTCATCAGTCAGTCTTTAAAGACAAAGATACTGGGCTTTCTTTCCAAGCCTTTCAGAGCCCCTGCCTGCCCCAGACACCAAGCCCAAGATCAAGAGCAGGAAGCACAGAGAATCACTCACCTCAAAGGTGCCAGCCTTAAGCAGGGTGACCTGGTCATGCTGAGAAAGATCACGGAAGCCAGGGATATGCTTGGCAAACTCTACCACCTCCCGCACAGCGGGTGTGAAGCTCATGGAGAAATCTTCCCAGATCTCTTGCACGGTTCGCCCACTGCGTCCATGGGGGTACATGTTCATCGGACATGCCTGGAGGAGGAAGGGATTTGGGGAGGGGAGTATCAGTTAGGCTAGCTCAGATGGGCTCCCCCAGCAGGTCTGGGACCTAGATTCTGCCTCGCTGAAGGGCTGTGGCCCTGGACGATGGGTCTTTCAGGTAAAGTAGCAACAAGGTTCAGGTGGAGATCAGGGATTCCCAGGCAGAGCCCTTGCTACATGGCCGAGCTTTCTCCCCTGGGAAGAGGATATCCCTGTGTTAGCCTCCAGGCACACCCAGCTGCCCTAAGCTAAATCCAGTCGTCTGGGCCCTCTGCCCACCTCACCCCTAGTGCCCTCACCAGTAGAACGTTCTTGGAGTTGCCCTGCCGAGGACTGTTGGCCGGTGCTTCACCTTCTGGGGCTGGGTACACGTGGGTGGGGCATAGACGGTGCCCATTGCTGTTGGGCTGGTGGCAGCTGTGGTGGGCAGTGCCAGGGGGCCAGGTGGGAGGATAGGAGGAGGGAGTCTGGCGTAAACCGTTCAGGGCCTCATTATGACGCTGCGCGGCCATGATGTTGTTGTCATTGGGGACAGGCAGGCAGCCCTGACTTTCCCAGTGATGTGCAGTGGTGGCCGGAGGGCTGCCTGATGCATGGTTGGCATTGAAGTTGCCAGGTGAGGTGCCCAGCTTGTCATGGGCATAGGTGAAGATCTCTCGGTGGGCCCGGGCTACCTGGGATATCACATCTTCCATCGTGGGCTCAGGACTTGGGGATCGGGGAGGCGTCAGCTGTTGTGGGAACTGGGAGAAGCCCACCAGGGGTGAGGGGGCCGGAGCCGGGGGTGGTGAGGGTCCCATGGGGCCTGGGGTCGGGTGCTGGGTGGGCGAAGTCTCCAGTGGGCACTGGCTGCTCAATTGGTTGTTGGCCAGGTTCATGGCGCTCTGCATCTCCGCGAGCATCCGCTGCTTCTCTCGTTTGGGGATGCGCCCAAAACGCACAGCTGTGACAGGATGAGAGCAGTGTCAGGAAGTTCTCATACACACTCACATGCTTCTCTAACTTCCTTCCTCCCGAAAGGGCAAGAACCTGAAGGCTTGGGGTTCCACATCAAAACAAAAACCAGCAAAGCCACACCCATCAAGGGGGTTTTCTAAGTAGGGATTGTGGTAGGAGGTAACCAGAGGGACTGATGGGAAAGATGAAATAGGGGCATCCCCTATGGAAATGAGGCTCACGGTAGGGCAAGTCTTAGTTTAGGACTTTTTATAAGGGAGAGATTAATTCAGACACTTTGGGTAAAAGGAAGGGGGAGAGTGTGGGGATGCTTGTGGGGCGACAGTGCTGCCTCACCATCTCGGGACATGCCCACGGAAAGACACTTCTTGAAGCGACACTGCTGGCAGCGGTTGCGATTGATGCGGACGATGGAGCAGTTCTCATTTTTCAGACACCTTTTGTACTGGATGTTCTGTTGGATGCTCCGACGGAAAAAGCCCTGGAGGGTAGGGGCAGCTAGTGAGCATCTCTGCCTCGGCCAGACATTTGTGTCTTGGGGGGCGTCACCTGCCCCTGCCCTTAACCCCAACCTGACTCACCTTGCAGCCCTCACAGGCATGCACGCCATAGTGGAAGCCGGAGGCAACGTCCCCACACACTTTACACAGTAGCACCATGCCATTGAGCTCTGTGGGAAGAGAGGGGCAGTGGGTGAGCAGGGGGGATGTCTGGGGGGCTGTAGATGGAGGTTTTCTGGGCTGGAGATTCTGGGGGTAACACTGAGGAGCAGCACCAGTATCTAGGGGGCACTTGAATGACCAGACTGGGCTGGACAGCTGGTGCAACTCTAGGAGAAATCTTCGAGGCCAGGGTAGATGTCACATGGATACCAAACTCCTAACCTAGGGCGGGCCACCTTCCTTTCCCCCAGATCAGCTGGAAATGTACTCACTGGTGATGTTGCTGGTGCTTTTGCTGGGGGACACTCGGCTGCTGTCTTCCAGGGCCACTTGTAGACCCCCTGGGGGGCTTCCATTATAGAAGGAGGAGGAGGAGGAGGAGGAAGATGAAGAAGAGGGAGAGCCATCATCACTCAAGCTGGGTGGAATGCTCCCAAAGGAGCGAGCAGGGTCCTGGGTGAGGGAGCCAGTGGGTGACGGTGGGAAGTAGGTGGGGCAGCCTTGGGTCAGGGACTGAAAGCTGCCATTTGAGCTGTCACTATACAGGGACTCGGGGCTGGTGCGGCTTGGGGAAGAGCCGCTGGAGCCAATGTAGGTGATGACGCCACCTGGCAGGAGAACACAGGAAAGGGGGTGTTAGCCACCACATATCTGGTCGTAGGGCACCACTCTGCTCATTCCCCACCTGCCTCCCCCAAACACTGTTGGACACTCAGAAGTTAACCATGTGGAACCCTAATCTTAAGAGTCCCCAGGAGAGCCACAATAAGCAACTCGCCAACACATACTAGATATGGCCAACCAACACCCATGACCCCTTTGCAGGATATATTCAGCTTCTGCCTTGGGTTTCAGGTACTTCCCTAGAGGTATGTCCACTGTGGGTGTCTCACGTATGAGTATGTACCCCCCTGCCCTGGATGCCTTCCTTGGAAATACTGACTGCAGCTAATGACTTATTTGTCAGCGGCAGACCTGGGGCTGGGATGAGCAGCTGAGATCCATTCATAAGGCCCAGTCTTCCAAAATAAACAGCTGCTGATTAACACCAACACCATTCCAGGGATGAGACCAACGAGGGGCAGCTAGCCAACAGTGAGGTGAGTGGAGGGCTTACAAGAGTAAGATAGTCACATTCCC